ACAAGGCAGCGCGGCTTACGCATGTGTTGTCGTTGAGAGGGCTGCATTTAGAGCGCGACGGTAACCAATAGCCACCTCGTTATAGTATGTCATAATCTCCGCAATATACGGGACTTATCTGCGAAGTGAGGTTCTTAAGCTTAGGAAGTTGTAACCGTTCACAGTGAAGGCTGTGCATGGCAATCTTTCCCTAGTCGAAGGCATAACAAACGAGACAAGGAGCATCCGGTCAGAAGAAGACAAGGTGATCTTGAGTGAGATAGTAAAGATGCCACATTATTGATGTAGTGTATGTATCGTGACGCAGGTCCGGCATGGGTCGTGATTTGGTGAGGCATATCTAGAGAAGTGAGAGAGCCGCATCATCACATGCAAGCAGAAAACGGCAGGAGCATCCGACGTGCGCCTTCATGCGCCTCCGTTCGCCTCACCTTTTCTCGACGTCCTTCAAAAGCTAGCCGTTACACTCCAATCCGGTCTCGCCATCGGCTTCCAGTTTAGTTTTCACGATTCGCCATCCAGACCATGATCGATCATTGCATTTCTTTTGCTCAACTTCTCACTACGTTGGTGGCGTTTCACGCCTTCACACTCCAGACCTTGATACTAGCATCACCACCCGCCGAAATCACCTTGTTCGCCTTTTCCCACGCAACACCATTGACCCCATCTTTGTGCGCATTGAGAGCCTTGATACGCTTGCCAGGGTCTTCAGTGCTCCAGACCATGACATTCGTATCCAGACTACCACTTGCGGCATAGTTCTCACTCTCATCCCAGGCCAGACAAGTGATGCGAGCGGTATGTGCACTCCATCTGTCTGTAATGATTTTCCAGTCTGCGTCTGCCTCGTATGCGTAGATCTTGCCGTTGCCAGCACCTACTGCTAGTTTCTTTCCTGAAGCGGAAAAGGCAAGTGCAGAGATGGGTGCGGTTGCGCGGCGGAGCACTGTCTCTGTGTCTTTGAGCTCGGTGCCCGAGAGTGTGTATATGTGTACGAGCTTATCGTCTCCGCCAACGGCGACAGTAGAGCCATGCGCCGCGATTGAGGTTGGCGAATACTTGACTGATAACGAGCCAACCTTGTCGCCCTTGGAGTATATTGCTATCGCATCAGCCGATAGGATCAATACAGTGCTCGATGTTGCAGCAACGCCCTTGGGTTGAAACTTGAGATCGTGAGCCTCCCCAGTGAAGATCTTGTCTGGAACTGACATGGAACGCAACGTGTCATCCCAACCAACACTGTACAACTCCGCCTCACTCTTACTGTCGGAAGTTGTGATGCCGGCGACGTAGCTGGAGTGTGCTGCGCCTTCGACCTTGTCGGCCAATCCGGTGGTAGTGTCCCATGCTAAGACGCGGCCCTCGTAGCTTCCTGTGGTGAAAGTGGATCCAGCAATGGCTGCTGCTGTGATATTCTTCGCATGGCCACGAACGACACGCGTTGGCTTTGGGTTGCCGTCGACGAGGTAGTTCAAGTTTCCCTCGAGGTCTACACTGACGATCAAACCGTCGCTACGGCCTGTGGGCCATACCACACCGACTTGCTGGTCGGGTATACTAGCGACGCCTTCTTCGCCCATCCTCCAGGTCTGAATGTTCTTGCCCGCTTCAGGGTCCCATATACGGACAGTTTGATCCGCGCTGGCTGTAACAAACTTGCTCGAGTCCTTGGACCATGAGATGCCGAAGATGCTGCCAGTGTGTATTCCTTCGCCAATTTGTCCCTTGGCCTCTCCAGTCTTGCCATCGTATAGCCATATGCGCTTGTCGGCGCCAACACTAGCGAAGACAGAGCCGTCAGGTGAGAAGGCGGTGCCGAAGACGAAGCGGTTGTGCTGCCCTCTGAGACTGGTGTTGAACTTGAAAGGAGCGCCATGGTAGAAGACCAGACTGGTGTCGTCGGAGCCTGTGGCGGCGCGAAGCGGTCGTTGCTGGCGGATGGAGACGCAGTTGATCTGTGAAGAGTGTCCCGAGATCTCACCCACGCTGTTACCGCTGTCTGCTGTGATGCAGTGTCCGAAACGCTCTTTGCCATCGCCGACTGCTATGATACGCTGCGAGTCGCCGTCCCATGCCAAGTCATTGATGCGGCCAGCGATGATGTGGTAGTCACCTGCATGGTCATCAGTTTTCACCCTTGATCAACCGCTTTTGTCCGCCCACCTTTTGTAGCTCCTTCACCTGCACAGTCCCACACCTTCACAGTACCCGACACATCTCCACTGGCAACGTAGAAGCCCGAAGGGGAGAAACGGGCGACGGTCGTCTGTGTTGTGTGTTGCGTGTATTGTTTACTAACAGCCGGATCGTCGATGGAGCGAAGGAAGACGGATTTGCCCGACTACAATGGTTCGATTAACTCGAGAACAGCTGCCGTTTGTTGACAGACTCACGGCATAGGCAATACGTTCGCCCTTGGGGTCTGAGGACAGAGGTGTTGCTTGTCCACGCGTCGTGGAAGGGGACGCTGCCCAGATGGCCTCTATTTACGCTTAGTCGCTGCTACAGGAAGCCATTCTGGAGCTCATACCGGATACTAGAGACATAATGCGCGCAAAAGAAAAGGATCAGTAGGCAGAATAGGGTATGGGTGATGCACAATGGAGGTGGTGCCTGCCTGGTAGCTTTGGCGGTGGCCTCTGCTTCGTCACCGCCTACGTTTCAGCGACAAGCCACGAGTCGCGGGGCATGTGGGGGTGGCTCTAACATGACAGCTCAATCCTAGGGTAACTACTTCGCAGCTTTCACTGTCATGAAGACTCGGTCCCACACATCACCAAATGTGAATCTTCTGGGTATCGTCGTCTTCTTTGCATGTTTCCAATCAAAGTTGCCTGTCGTCATCAGAGCTAGGTTCAAAGGAGGGTGCTGCTGGGGCTGCATCACTAGCCAGGAGTCTGTAACAAGAGGACCCCAGGATCATATGCATAGGTCTGGACTTCACCGCCGCCTGCATATAGACATATGGTGGTGAAATAACGAGGTTGGTAAATTGAGATACAACCTTGGAACAACCCGGTAGATCTTGGCGCACGTCATTTCCGACGCGTCCCATCTACGTCGTATTAGTTTAGGAATCAATAAATCTACTACTCTGTGATACTTTGAGTTCCGGTACATCAATTGGTCTTTCCGCACCTGTCCGCCTCTTTCGCTTTTTACTATCGTGTCGTTCGCTATTAAACGTCATCATACCGGGAACCCGGCAGCCGGAAACCACGAGCCTCAACAACTTTGGCGTATCATCAACATCATCATCAAAGAAGAGCAGGAACACCAAACATCATCACCATGTGTATTATGAAGACTTACGAAACACGCGGCCGTGGCGTCGTCGACCCGCCACCACGACGAGGGAACTTTACCTCCCATCCACCAGCTGGCGTTATGCGTCTACCACGCGACTGGCAGCGAACATCTGTCGAGAGCTTCAGCGATAATGGTCGCTACGTCGAGTACAGGTTTGTGGTTCATTACGTCAAAAGCGCCAACGTCTCGTGCTCATACCCTCTAGACGATCCCGATCTCGACCCCGTGCAATTGAGTACATCGAAGAGCCTCGTACGCGCGCGAGGAGCCGCGCGAGGAGTGTGTCCCGGCGACGCGTTAGCGATGTTGAGATTGTCAGGCCAGGAAGAACGAGCTATGTTGATCCACGTGGAAGTTACGTGGACGAGAGGGTTACGAGGCGAAGTGTCAGCCGTGTCAGGCATTGATCGTGCTCGACAATCGCACACAAAACTGGGAGTTTACGTATGTGTGATGCATGATTAGAGCGAGTATCTGAGTTAAGTGCTGACTCAGTAGTGCGAGGACTAATTTTGTACAAACGGGATACATTGGAGAGTTGGTAATTACGAATGACATGATTTTATGATTTTGAATACAATCCGCCCTTCTGACATATATCCCATCTATCATGCGTAGCGCAAAAGTACCAGAAGCTCTCATCCGGAGATAAAGGCTAGCTTGCGTCTTAGGGTACCATGATCCCTGTCACTTTGTGGGGCAACGCTCATCAGACTCATACCTCAGCATCACCTTGAATCGTGGCATAAATAGAACGATCCCTTCGTCCTGCAATCAGATAAGGAACTTTGAAGTATCATTTCCGTAATCTTGACCGCTGCCTCAACGCCATGGCATCGCACCCCATGCAACGATGCTGCGTCGTCGGCGTAAAGCACGAGGGGAAACCTCAAGGAGTGATCAAACAAATCGATAATATCCGCACATATTTCGCCTACCCAGAGGATAAAGACCCAGAACAAGCGATAGTTCTCATGACCGACGTCCTCGGCATGGACTTCCCCAACACCCAGCTCATCGCCGACCAATTCGCACAAAACGGCTATCTAACACTCATACCCGACGTTTTCAACGGCCATCAAGTGTCCTTTCCCATCGACCCATCTTTTGACCTGCAAGAGTATGTTGACACCACGATGCCAAAACCGGAGACTGTTGATCCAATGTATGAGCGCGTAATCGGATATTTGAGGAATGAGTTGAGAATCAAGAAGTTAGGAGGCGTGGGATATTGCTTTGGGGGCAAATATGTGTGTAGATGGTTGAAGGAAGGCGGCCTAGACGCAGGATTTATAGCTCATCCGAGTTTCGTCACTTCAGACGAGATCCGCAACATCAAAGGACCGCTAAGCATCGCTGCTGCAGGTACGTTTTTTCCTCGAAACAAATTTCGCCATTACTAAAAGAGAAGAAAAAGAAGAATAACAAGAACGACGCGTGCTAACATTGACCCCAGAAACCGATGACATCTTCCCCGCTTCAAAACGCCGCGAGACAGAAGACATTCTCAAAGAACATACCGTCCCATACCAGCTGTTTCTCTACTCGGATGTCGAGCACGGATTTGCGACAAAGGGCGATTTGTCGCATGAAAAGGCGAGATTTGCAAAAGAACAAGCGTTTCTGCAGGCGGTGTACTGGTTAGGCGAGTACGTAAAGAAGAGGCCAGGAGTGTAAACAATAAATCAGAGTTGTATAGAAACAACGAGGCGATCGAGACCAGGAAAGGCGTTGGAGGTATTAGGGATAGTGTCCACGATGATCACATCGCCAGAAGATGTGTGATGAATAGGATCATCGATGGAATTACCGACAATGCGAAGTTCCAGAGATTCTTCTGCCCCCTTCTCTTCTAGCACTATGTCTCTCTCTGTGCGCGAGATTGCATGCTCCAGGCCCTTATCAGTCTTGTCACATGGCCACATCTGCATATCGTCCTCGCTCAACGAGAAGATCCGCTCCGGATATGCAGTCTCGTACGTCTTGGACAAGGGGGATGCCATCAACACAGCATCCGTGTGGGCGCCCGGGTGAACATCGCGTGGTCGAAGGCGGTCCATTACCGTATCGATAGTAGTCAGCGCCGCCCCAATCGCCCAGACACAGAAGCTGATGGCGAAGTATACGACGAGAAACAAAGCCACAAGGAGACAGCCCCAAAGATAGCCTGTGAGAAGACTATCCAGTATCTCATTGGCTGGCGGAGAGGTTGACAGTGGTATGTGGTCTCCGGTTCGATCGATCTGTGGTCGGAGCATGATGGCTTGGTAGGGGAAGAGAGGTGGCATGTTTGGTTGGTATGGCGGTAGAATAGGTCCGAGTAAAGTTCCGATTTGTTGTCCAGTGTAGTGTACCAGCGGTATTGATACTTGTGCTCAAAAGTAGTCGTTGCACCACCTTGGTCAGAGTCTGCAAACGTTGCAAGAGGACTACGAGACGATATGCAGATTACATCTGCGTTTGATCCTCTGGAAGTCGCGCCTAACGATCACTGAGAGGGCGCCACTCATCTCCAGAGGGATGTGTAGGCTCATCACTCTTTCTTACCATGTTCAACACCAGCTCTTCCTTCTTCCCCACTCCTTCGTTCCTCCTTCTTGATCTTCCCAGCCCACGGCGGCTCCCCATCCTCATCAAACTCTGCCCACTGGAAAAATCCGCAGCTCTCCCTCCCCGGCACATAACCTGCATGACACATCCACATGTACCTGCCTCTACTCTCCTTCTTCCTCGTCGCGCACCTCAACACAGTCGGAACATCACACTTGCACTTTGGCGTATACCTCGGATGCAAACTATCCTTGTAAAAACGATACGTGATATTCAGCCGTTTATTCTTTGCAAGTGGGTGAGGATCGATAGCTTGAGCCGGAGCTATCGAGTGTTTCCATTCCTCCTGCATCTCGGCGTGCATGACCAGGAGCGAATTGTGCGGCAGGTGGATGCTAATCTGGCCCTGCGCATCGGCCAGTGAGCCGTCTTGTTTGCGGTGCACAGAGTCGTCTTCGGCGAGGATCTTGCGAACGCGGAATTCGCGCGCTACTCCCAGGCTTAGACTGCCAATGATGGCTCTTGGGCCAAGGTAGGTCAATTGATCCGCGTGGTAGCCGACGCTTTCTTGTGGTCCATCGTAGCAGTTCACAAAGGCTGTGTTGGCTTTCCATGGGTGAGGGGATTGGTATTTGAGTTTCTTGCCGGAGGGGTAGAAGTCGCGGATCCTGCGTTGGATTTCGCGGTTGACGGCCTCTTCAACCTGGGGACATGCGTTGAGCATTTCTGATGTGCTTTGCCGGACATCCTGGCCGATGTTAACATTATGATGCTGACTCTTCTGGGCTTTCTCACCTCGAGCTCGCCGCCGTTGTAAATGTACTCCGTCTTCTGTTTTTCTGCCTCTTCTAGGCTGTTGACGTAGAAGGAATACGTGTGCGGGCTCAAAACTACTCTTTCGAACAGCTTGAACTTATACCTATTGTACGAGGACGCTTCTTCCAACAATTGAGACAGCAGTGCTTCTGCTTGCTTTGCGGGGAGGAAGTTATGGATGATGGAGCAAGGCGTGTGTGCTTCAACATCCTCTGGGCTGTAAAGAAACAGTGTCTTCCCTTTCTTTACCATTGGCTTTTTCGTGGATGTCCCGTTGGCCGGAGTAATGCGATACGAGCTCAACGATGATTGATAGCCAACTGTAGATGATGCAGGCCGCTTCCTCGGCTGCGATAACGACTCCGAGGCTTGTTCCACATGTCCATCAGCGGCGAGCAATGCTTCAAGCAGGGTGCCTTCGTCGAGTTTGGGGTGTAGAGATGCCAGTATAGCCAGCTTGAAGTCGGTAGAGTCCTCTTCTTGCTGCACGCTTATATTCTCTACCGACTTTGGTGATTGTTCAGCCCACTTCCTCTTTCGCGACACGAACGCGTCCATGTCGATTGCAGTTGATCACGATGGCACTCATAGTGTCGTGATGATTCGCTAACGCATACGGAGCTCCTGATGGTGGCGACCGTTACAGCCAGACGCGTTGTCACGGGACAGCCCGAGTCCCGATGCAGCCCCGCCATATCCAAAGCGCCAGGCCTCGGTCTCATCCACATCGTCATCTGCAACCATGCAGCAGCACAACACCAGCATTTCATCCCAGCGCGACATGACGCGCCGGCCCCTACATATACTCCACGCGCCATAGTCTGCTACCATTATCCTCTTGGATTCTTCGTCATGCTCGAGTTTCGAACACAGGGCTTCAACGGCTACTCGGTCAAATACAGCCCATTCTTTGATTCCCGCATCGCAGTCGCAACCTCTGCCAACTTCGGGCTCGTCGGAAATGGACGACTATACATACTAGGTCTTACAGCAAATGGCATAGTAGCCGAGAAGTGGTGCGTGGGAACTCTTAGCACCCAGCTACTTTTCCAACATCTTTCGCATGCTAACATCCCCAACCTTAGGTTCGACACCCAAGATTCCCTCTTCGACAGCACCTGGTCCGAATCCCACGAGAACCAGCTCCTGACCGCCTGCGGCGACGGCTCCGTAAAACTCTTCGACATCAATGTGCCCACGTACCCCATCGCCTCGTGGCAAGAGCACGCCCGCGAAGTCTTCGCCGTGCATTGGAACCTCGTGGCCAAAGACACATTCCTCTCCTCCTCCTGGGACGGCTGCATCAAGATCTGGAACCCCAACTCAGACGCGAGCATCACGACCCTACCAACACATTCCTGCACCTACTCCGCATCTTTCAGTCCGCACAACGCCAGTGTGTTGAGTAGCGTATCGTCAGACAGCCACCTCCGCGTCTTCGATTTGCGCACACCAGCGAGTGCGTCCAACCACCTAACCATGAACGTCCCGATACACCAACCGCCCAAGGCGCGCATGGGCCAAGCAGCCAGTATTGGAATTGCGCCCGCAGAGGCCTTGACACACGACTGGAATAAATACCGCGATACCATTGTTGCAACAGCCGGCGTGGACCGCGTGATACGTACTTTTGATATTAGAATGCCGCAGGCTGGACCCGTTGCTGTTCTCCCAGGGCACGAGTATGCGGTAAGGAAGTTGAGCTGGAGTCCGCATTTATCTGATATTCTGCTATCTGCGAGCTACGATATGACGTGTCGGGTGTGGACAGATGGCAGTGCCATGGGCGTAGGGTCTGTGAAGCAGGAGAATATGCTGGAGGACCCGATGTTTTATGGCGGAGGAAGGGAGATGGGGAGGATGGGGAGGCATACAGAGTTTGTGACGGGTGTGGATTGGTGTCTGTTTGGGGCGGAAGGGTGGTGTGCCAGTACGGGTTGGGATGAAAGGGTTCTGGTGTGGGATGCGAGGGCTGTTATGCAATGAGACGACCAAACCCCATGCACAACATAAAAGACATTTGTGAGATATAGACTGTTCTTCATTCAACTACGTAGGCGAAACAATAATACTCGGCGATATACACACTGCGAGCTATGCTACCGAAAACAAAGATCCCCAATAAGAAACAAATAAATAGGGTATCGTCCCATGATCGCGCCTTTATCAACCCCTCAACACCGTTGCCATGCAGGAAAATAACCCCAAACAACCTCGAAACGCCCACCAATGCTCAAGCGGTGCAAGCAATCTCTCCTCCTCAACAAGTCTAGTAACGCCACCATGCATCACCCACGCCCCTCTACAAATATTTTGTCCCTCGTCTTCTCCACCTTCATTCCGTGACCGTACCTCTGAGCCATGCTAAAGATCTCCAAGGTTCAAAACATCATCGAGCGCATCGTCCATCTCGGCCATGTCCTGCACACTACCACCTTGCCAATGCATACCCACTTCGTCGTCAATTTGCATGGGGTCCCCGAAATCGATCGTCCATGTCTCACCATTGAGATCAAGTTTCCCTGCATTGCCGATACCATTGATGCCATTTGCGGTGCCGGTGCCGTTAATACCAACGCCATTCGTTAGCACGGGTTTCCGGGGCGGATCGTAAATGTCCTCGATGCCTTCGGTGTCGAGGAAGCGCGAGTTCATAACTGAACCTGCGATGAAGGGTGTTTGTCCTAGATACGAGTCTCCCAGTGCAAGCGCCAGACGCAAGTCTTCCATGCATAATAACTTTCTCTTCCGTCGCTCTTCGGCTTCGACTGGTAGCTCGCCTGCCGTGCCCCTTGCCAATTCACCCCGTTCGACAAGGCGTTCTTCTCTCGCAAGCTTCTTCTTGAATTCGCCCGTTCGGACGTACCCGGGACCGTTGTTGGCGACCTTTCCGAGTAAATTTGCTAGCGCTTCTTTGATGTACGTTTCCGTTGCGATGTTGAGGTAGTCAGGACAATCAGATGTGTGACCCTGAGGCAGACCAAACTCGTAGCATATAGGTAAGAGCCGGTAGGATATGGTAGTTGCCGTAGGGAACTCGTGGGTTTCGACGGACAGGGCCGAAGTGTAGCGTTTGCGAATTTCGAGTTCCCAGTCTATTCGTCGTGTTAGTTCACTTCACGCCCTGCTGTGAAGAGAATAGAAATGAAGGTATACGTACTGGTCTTTCCAAACCCACCCCCCTGATTACTGCTTGGACCAACATCCAACTGCTTCGCCCGTCTCGCATCAACGTACTCCTGCGCCGGCCCATTGGCGCCGCTACCCGCGCCCTCCAACCCCGTACTCAGCGGGCTTTCCCCAGCAGGTATGCCCTTGAGCCTCTTTCTTTCCCTGCGACTCAACTGCATAACCTCATGCTTGAGCCTCTTCTCGCTCTCATCCCCCGTCCCCTTGACCGTCCCGCTTGTCGGCTTATCACTACTCGACACCCAGCTCGCGATGCCTGCTTCGGGCGGATCGCGCCATATGTTGGCGTAGATGGCTGTGAAGAGAGCATTGTGAGCGTGTTCGAGGGCGGGCGTGGTCAGGATCTTGCCGAGCTTGTGGGACAGCTCTTCTTGATTGAGGTTGCCGAGGAGGAAAAAGGAGAGGGTCTTCTTGTACGTGGTCCAGTCGACATCGCTTATCGAGCCCTTGACTGCCGAGTATAGGGGCTCGACGTCTATGCGGGGGGCGCGCGGCGCGTTGGGCTTCTTGGTGAGGTCGGTGTTGAGGGATGTGAGGTTGGGCAGGGTGCCCGACGAGAGTGTCGGCGTGGTCGAGACATTCATGTCATTGGGCCGTATCGTGCCTGCCATGATGGCCGTGGATGCGCGCCGTCGTGGCGCTCAATGCGTGGGAATGGTTGCGCGTTGCGAGATGGTCGCGCAGCTGGACGGGTGCGCGTGCGGATTGCGGAGACGGCCACAAGCGGCGGGAGAGCGACGGTGGGGCGTGGACGACTCGATAGAGGCGTCGATAGAGTCGCGCGAGGGTTGGTAAGTGTTCCCCGATGACGGGCAGATGCAGGAGGCGTTGTGCGGGGCCTACGCTGATGGACTGGCATACAGGCGTGGAGAGCGTGAGGTCAGAGCTCGGGGGTCTTGCGGAGTTGTTGCTGGGGGCAAGCTAACGAGTCCCATGAAACCCCCAACCTTTGCACATCTCACACATCACTCCAAGGTCAGAGTCAGATTGTTAAACTTTGAATTCATTCGCTATGCAGCTGCACAATAAGATGAAACCACCTCTTATACACTACCGTCCAAATGCCAGTGCAGTCGCTTTTGTACCATAAACACCATCCTGTTTACCATACGGCTTCACCAGTTTTCATCAAGCACATCCCCCATCTACCACAGAACATCCCTAGTTTTCACCAAACACATCCCCCAACTCCACCTTGCCCACACTCCGAATCTCCCTCTCATCCTCCATCTCATCACTCGACAAGCCCAAACCACCCGCTCCACCCTCAGCTTCTTTCCTCTCCCTAGCCTGCCCAGCCAGCCTCATAGCCACCCTCTTGAAGTAGTCTCCCATACTGCGTTGTTGACCGGCCGACAGCGTCTTTCCAGGCCCAGCCATGTACTTGTCGAACACAGCAGCCTCCTCATCCACAACCGAGAAGATAGCAAGGAACGCTGCCTCGGCAGATAGCTTGACTGGGATAACAGGGTCGCGAACTGATGCGAAGACCACTGGGATGAGTAAGGGAATATGCGGACGGACAAGGTCATTGTGCTCGCGCGCAACTGTGCGCAGCACCACGAGTGCCAATCGCCTTGTATCCACAGGATGTCCAGGCTCAACCACTGGCGCCAGAGCCTCGAATATAGGCTTGGTGTGGTCGAAGCTCTTGTTGCTCTTTTCCGAGAGCAGATATTTACCAGCGGCGAGAATAGAGTTGTCCGAGATGAACGGCTGTGCGTGGCTGATTCCTTGGCAGATTACGGATACGGTGTCGTCTGCAAAGGATTCTGTCAAGGCTTCTGGGGCATCTAGCAGGATGGCGTTGAGTGCCAGGACAGAAGCTTTGTTGTAGTGGGTAGTAAGTACTCTGGCCTTGAGCAGGCTGGACGCGATTTCCTCCGGGAGACAGCTGATAAGAGCGCCCAGAAGTCGAGCGTTTGTAATTGCCATTGCATCTGTATTGTGTCAGTAACTGTAGACAGGGTCAAGTCTCTACTGAACTTACCATTAGAATCATCGCTTTCGTTATCGATGAGACCTAAGATGGCATTCCTGCTTGCTTCGCTCATGTTCTTGCCTGCCTTGCTCACCACCTCAAACAAAGCCTTCAACATAGCCGTCCTGACATTTTCGTCGGCTGTCTTGGATCCAGTCACCAACTCAGCGATAAGCGGATCAACTCTCGGTGTAAGCTTGATCAAGGTACCAAGAGCCTTTGCCGCACGCGCTCGCAAGATATCTGAAGAAGTATCCGCAAGCGACTTGGCGAACGTGCGTTGAAGTTGGGGCAAGAAAGGCTTGAGGAAGGTTGGGATCTTCTCAAGCAAGTTGTTGAGTGTGAGCAGGATAGCTGCCTTGACTTCGACAGAACGCTCGGTAACCAC